CGGAATCGCGGCGCGTCCAGTGCCTGCTGGAGCTGCAGGTGCGGCACATCCGCGCCAGGTTCGCCGTCTATCTCACAGGTAAAGGCGATTCCCGGGATTTCCCGGTCTGGAAATGCCTGGGAAATCGGAGGAGAGATAAAACAATCCCAGTTTTCCGGCCATTCCCACGGGAATTGCGGTGCGCCAGCGAGGGGTTTTTGGAGGTTGCCGAATTCCAGCGGTTTTTGGAGCCTCGTGGGTGCAGAGCAGCCGTGGTGGGATTTAGGGATAATTCCCAGGGGGTTGGGAACGGCCTCGTTTGGATTAATGGAGCTGCTGCTCCTCCTTCCCTCGCAGAAAATCCCGGCGGCAGCAGCAGGGAAATCCTGGAAAGCAAAGGAATTCTGGTGGCTGACGTCAACACCTTCCTGGGGACGGTGCAGGAAGTGGCTGCTCCCTTCAGAAGGAGCTACTGGTAAGGGGGAAAAAGTTGGGATTGATCCCGAAGAGTTGGGAGCAGCTCTGGGAGCTGGGATCCCACATGGAGCAGGGGATTGCGGGATCTGCCGGCGCCCGGGGCCGGCTCCCGCAGCCGGAGCCAGGAGAGCCGCGCTCAGCGCTGCTGGAAAATGGGAAAAACTCCAGGCCTGGCCCAGGGGAGGCCCTGGGGAAACTCCTGGGAGGTTCCAGGGGAGGCTCCAGGGGAGGCTCTGGGGAGGTTCCAGGCAGGGAGGTCCTGGGGGAGCCCTGGAGAGGCTCTGGAGAGGCCCCAAGGGAGGCTCTGGGGGAGCTCTGGAGACACTCCAGGGGAGGTCCTGGAAAGGTCCCAGGGGAGGCCCCAGGGGAGGCTCTGGGAGAGCTCTGGAGACACCCCAGGGGAGGTTCCAGGGGAGGTCCTGGAAAGGTCCCGGGGGAGGTTCCAGGGGAGGCCCCAGGGGAGGCTGCACCGCCCGCAGGGATCCGGGCGCTGACCGGCGCCGCGTCTGTTCCAGGTGACGGAGCAGAACCACGGACACGGCTCCTCCCCAGGCCCTGGGGCACCGGTTTGGTGCCCAGTCCTGTGGGGACATCCACAGCCATCCCAGTGGATCCCAGGCACCCATCCCAGTGGATCCCAGACACCCATCCAGGGGATTCTCACACCCATCCCAGTGGAACCCAACCACCAGTGGATCCCCACACCCATCCCGGTGGATCCTCATCCCGGTGGATCCCAGCCGCTGCTGGGGGATCTGTTTTGGCTCTGTACATAAATGTTATTTAAAGGCGGGGAGCACAAACCCTCTGGGATCTGTTCCCCGCCATCCGCTCTCCACGGAAAAGGTTCTGACGGTACCCGGAAATCACCGCAGACCTTTCAGGCCTTCGGTGCCATTGAGATTCACCTCAAGTCGATTTTCCCAAAGTTTCCTGACGGTTGGGAAGGAGAAGAAATCCGTTTTCCACGTGGCTGCTGCCGTTCAGGCCCACACTACACTCCAGCTCCCTTGGTTCCAGTTCCTGCCCGCAGAATCCTCGGAAGGAGCGGGAAGCCGGGATGGGGGAACGAGAGTTGTTCCTTACGGGGAAACGCCACATCCGAGCCCCAGTCCTGACCTGGCTCCACGGGCCAGGGGCCTCCTTGGAGTTTTGTTCCGAAATCCCAGAGTGCGAGGCCGTTCTGTACAGGATGACTTTGTAGAGTTTGATTAATAAAACCTCAAAAAAAAATGGGATTTTCCCCCAGCTCTGCTTTCTGGAGAGGGGATCCCGCTCGGCATCCGGCCTTTTCCGACAGGGAGGGCTGGGGGTTTTCCAGCTGGGATGGAGGTTGGGAATCGGCAAGGAGCGAGCAAATGATGGATGTCATCGTCCCATGGATGCCACCATCCCATGGATGCCAACGTCCCATGGATGCCATCGTCCCATCATCCCATGGATGCCATCGTGCCATGGATGCCATCATTCCCATGGATGCCATCGTCCCAAGGACACCACCATCCCATGGATGCCGTCATCCCATGGATGTTGTTGTCCCATGGATGTTGTTGTCCCATGGATGCCATCGTGCCATGGATGCCATCGTCCCATGGATGCCATCGTGCCATCGTCCCATGGACGCCATCGTCCCATCATCCCATGGATGCCATCATCCCATGGATGCCATTGTCCCATGGACACCGTCATTCCATGGACACCATCATCCCATGGATGCCATTGTCCCATTGTCCCATGGATGCCATCATCCCATGGATGCCATCGTCCTGAGCAGCAGGGGGGGATAATGAATAATCAATCCCATCTGAGGGTTTCTTTTCCACCTGCACTGGGTCCGGCCTGGCTCGTGGGGGCTGCACGGGAGGAACCTCCCCAGCTGAGCCAGGGGAAGCACTCCTGGAAGTGAAACCTCAGGAATTCTTCGTGGAAGTGAAACCTTGGAAAGTGCTTCTGGAAGTGGCACCTCGGGAATTGTTCCTGGAAGTGAAACTTCGGGAATTGTTCCTGGAAGTGGCACCTTGGGAGGAGGAAGTGCCGGAAGCCACGGCCGGGGGAAGCCGCGGGAAGCACCGGCTCAGCTGCGGCACCGCGTCGGGACCGAAGCTGAGTTCCCGCTGGAACTCCCAGAGCTGCTCCAGGGCTTTCCCTTGGCTCTCCCGGCACCCGGCCTCGCTGCCAGCTGGGGGAGCGGGAAAGATCACTCTGGGATCAGGAATGATCACTCCGGGATCAGGGAAGGATCACTCTGCGATCAGGAAATGATCACTCCGGGATCAGGGAAGGATCACTCCAGCATTGGGAAGGATCACTCTGGGATAGGAAAGGATCACTCTGGGATGGGGAAGGATCGCTCCAGGATCAGGAATGATCATTCTGGGATCGGGAATGATTGCTCCAGAATCGGGAAGGATCACTGCAGGATCAAGAAGGATCGCTCTGGGTTGGAACACCGCTGCAGGAATTGCTCTGTGCTGCTGCTGCCGATTCCCGGCGGAGCCGCAGGAACCGGGATTGTGCCGAAGCACAGCCGGAGCTGCAGGAACCGGGATTGTGCCGAAGCACAGCCGGAGCCGCAGGAACCGGGATTGTGCCGGAGCACAGCCGGAGCCGCAGGAACCGGGATTGTGCCGGAGCACAGCCGGAGCCGCTGGGCCTGGAAACCATTTCCAGCTCCAGGAAACGCTCCCGTGTCACCCCAGCAGGCAGAGATCCCGCGGGATCCGAGCCCGGAGCCGCTGCTCCGGCAGTGCAGTGAATCAGACCGAGGCCAGGACTGGTTTCCAGAATTTGGCTTTACTTGGCAGTACAGAAATCATTTGGAGCCTCCAGGAGAAGCACGAGCTCCGTCATGCCGATACCGCAGCGCCGTTTGGTCCATCCCAGAAGCCACCAGGGGACACAAAATACTTCCACATCTTGCCTGCTCTGTAATTTGTTCTCTCAATTTTATTAAGATTAAAACACAAAGGAGCCTCAGGCACAGCTGTGTCCCAACCGATGGAAACGGGTTTAGAAGCTTAAGTGGAGGTTAAGTTCTGTGCCCAGAACGAAGCCAACATTTGCTGCTACAATAGGTGTGGGCTTTGTCCATGATACAACTTTGCCACAGAGTTAAAGATTGATGGGAGAGACTTTTTAGGGATGCTGTCCACAATAATGGAGTGCTCAGTTTCTATTTTCCTTGATATCAGGTTTGAGTGACATCAGCGTCACATCTACGAGCTCACCAGAAGCACAGGATCGTGAAGGATGTTTTACAAATGATTAAAAAGACAAGGGAAGACACAGCTGTCAATGAGTTATTTCAAACCTGCACCCACGTCTACGTCTGCAAAAATAACCAGGATGATAATAATAATAATAAATTCATTTCTGCCTTTCGCTTAACGAGGTTAGTCAGGGAATCAGTCAGGAATTTGCCAGATTCTGGACAGCAGCCCTACTAGAATGAAATAATTAACACATGATATCCAAAAAGGGAACATTACCAGTGCAGTACTCTTCAATCTCTCAGAGATGGGATTACAAAAGCAGGCCTTACAATATTGAATTTCGTACAGTGTTCATTAAGTTCCTTATATATTCATATTAGCCGATTTAAACTTCTCCTAATTAGAGCCTCTCATTACTGCTGCTCCTCCTCCCCGTAGATGTCGTTTTTCTTGCGTTTCATCTCCTCGAAGTCAAACTCTGATCCCATCATCCTCTTATAAATATCTTTGATGTCGTCGCACGTCGTCTCGAAGTGGGTGGTGGCGTCGTAGGTGCGCGAGATGAAGATCTGCAAGGGGAAGAGGAGGTTGGAGCGGAGCGGGCAGCGCGGCGGCTCCCGGCTCCGGCGGCGCCGGCGCTCACTCACCTGGCTCTCGGTGCCCAGGTCGGTGGGTGCGAACAGGTCGCTGATGCTCACGAACCTGCGGGAGGGACACAAAGCTCTGAGAGCGGCCGAGGGCGGCGCTCGGGGCGCGGGGATGGAGCGGCTCCGGGCGGCCCCAGAGGGGACGGGGCTGGCTGGGGACTCACTTCTGCTCGATGGGCTCCAGGAGGTCCAGGGCTGGCTTGATCTCCTTCTCGGGCTCGGCGGTCTCCACGGTGGTGCTGGCGATGGCGATGTACTTGCCCTGCGCCGCCACGTTGTGCGCCGAGGAGATCATGCACACGTAGATGTCTGCGGGGACGGGGCACAGCTGCAGCCACCGACCGCCCAAAACCTTCTCCAACCTCATCCCAGAACATCCTCAGCCCCGTCCCAAAACCTTCTCCAGCCCCATCCCAAAACATCCTCAGCCCCATCCCAAAACCTTCTTCAACCTCATCCCAAAACTGCCTCAGCCCTGTCCCAAAACTTCCAGCCCCATCCCAAAACATCCTCAGCCGTGTCCCAAAACCTTCACCAGCCTCATCCCAAAACCTCCTCAGCCCCATCCCAAAATCTCAGCCCCGTCCTAAAACCTTCTCCAACCTCATCCCAAAACCTCATCTTCATCCCAAAACCTCCTCAGCCCCATCCCAGAACATCCTCAGCCCCATCCCAAAACCACCTCAGCCTCATTCCAAAACCTCCTCAGCCCCATCCCAAAACCTTCACCAGCCCCATCCCAAAACCTCCTCAGCCGCATCCCACAATCTCCTCCAGCTTCATCCCAAAACCTTCACCAGCCTCATCCCAAAACATTCACCAGCCTCATCCCAAATCTCCTCAGCCCCATCCCAAAACTCTGCCTGTGCCTCTTCCCACTTCCCTGACACTTGGCACCCCTGGATTGTCCCAAGAACCTGGAATGACTCCTTGCCCTTTGTGCTCCCATCTCCTGCTCCAGCAGGGGCTGGATTTTGGGACATCCCCAAAATTCCGTTTCCCCGATGGCTCCTGAAATCCCGGGGGATTCCCAGGGCTGTCCCAGGCTCTGGCAGCCCCTCCCGCACCTCTCCCAGTCTGGGGCACTTCCTGCCCAGGTTCCTCAGGAGCTTTTCCGAGCACAGCTCCTCCCACCTGCCCTGACTGCTCTGATCCGAAACTCAGCCTGGCTGCAGCTGAAATCTCCTGGAGGAGACCATGAAATGTCCATTTCCCTGTCTGGAGCCTCAAATCTCCTGGAGGAGATCAGGGGGTTCCCATTTCCTTCTCTGGAGCCCCAGATCTCCTGGAGCAGACCATGAAATGCCCATTTCCCTCTCTGGAGCCCCAGATCTCCTGGAGCAGGCCAGGAGGTGTCCATTTCCATCTCTGGGACCTAAAAGTTTCTGGACAAAGCCATGTAATGTCCATTTCCCTGGCTGGAGCCCCAAATCTCCTGGAGCAGACCAGGAGGTGCCTGTTTCCCTGTGTGAAGCCCCAGATCTCCTGGAGCAGACCATGAAATGTCCATTTCCCTCCCTGGAGCCTCAAATCTCCTGGAGGAGACCAGGAGTTGTCCTCTTCTATGTCTGGAGCCTAAAAATTTATGGAAAAGGTCATGAGGTGCCGATTTCTCTGGCTGGGACCTCAAATCTCCTGGAGCAGGCCAGGAGGAGGTGCCCATTTCTATATCTGGGACCTTTAAGTTTCTGGAGCAGACCAGGAGGTGTCCATTCTATGTCTGGAGCCCCAGATCTCCTGGAGCAGACCATGAAATGTCCATTTCCCTGTGTGGAGCCCCAGATCTCCTGGAGCAGGCCAGGAGGTGTCCATTTCCATCTCTGGGACCTAAAAGTTTCTGGACAAAGCCATGTAATGTCCATTTCCATAGCTGGAACCCCAAAGCTCCTGGAGCAGACCAGGAGGTGTCCATTCTATGTCTGGAGCCCCAGATCTCCTGGAGCAGACCATGAAATGTCCATTTCCCTGTGTGGAGCCCCAGATCTCCTGGAGCAGACCAGGAGGTTCCTGTTTCACTCTGATCCCCAGGGAACAGGGCCCCGACCAGCCCCGGTGGCGAGAGCCGCTGCGCACACACCTGATTTCCGGTTGACCTGGTTCTGTGGAATGATGATCTGGCACGAGTTGGCATCATTTGTGTTCTTGATGGGGTGGCTCAGGATGCAGATGACCCGGATCACCTGGCCCACCTTGGTCACGCGGTCCGACACGTAGCTGGGGTCGCAGATGAGCTGTTTGCAGCGAGCCACCTGTGAGAGGGAAGGTGGAAAAATCCAATTTTTTTCCAGGAAGAATTTCATATTTGATTTCATCTGCAGGTTGCACAATTTGGTTTCTAGCGTGGATTGTCACTCTGCTCCTGGTCAGGAGATGTTATCCCACCAGCAAATCCCGAGTTCCCGCTCCGAGCTCCCGGGCCGCCGGCAGCGTTCCCAGTTTATCCAGCCAGCTGCAGGAGGAGCTGCAGGAAGGCCATGGAACAGCAAAAAAGCTAAAAGTGCTAAAATCTGCAGGCTGGACACATGGAATTATCCCTTCCTGAATCATCACTGCCAGCCCATGGAGACCTCATCCCAACCCCTGGAGCAGGGGTGACATCAGGACATGGTGTACTCAGTGAGCTGCCACGGGGACAGCAGCCCCAGCAAATCAACACTTTTGGCTTCAAAAATGGGGTTTTTTTGGTGAATTTGTGGTGATCGAAGCCAAGAGATTTGAGGTGTGAGGGGCAGATGTGGGGTGGGGAGCAGGGAAGGGTCCGTACCTCCCCCTCGGATTTGACGCCGACCACTTTGCCGTTCTCGATGACGATCTCCTCGATGGGTTTGTTGAGCATGTAGGTGCCTCCATAGATTGCACTGAGCCTGAAACAGGAAAATCCTCTTCAGCATTTCAGGAGAACCCCTTCAGCTCCTCCAGGGCTGGATTTTACCGGCCCTTCCAACCCCCAGGCTCTGCTCCACTTCATAAACCCCATCTCAGACTGAAACCTCCTCAAAAGGGAAATACAGGCTGGGTTTAGGAAATTAGGAAGAAGATTTTTACAGAAAGAGTGATAAATAGTGGAATTTTCTGTCTGGGGAGGTGGTGGAGTCACCACCCCTGGATGTGTTTAAAAAAGCCTGGATGTGGCACTGGGTGCCGTGGTTTGGTTGAGGGGTTGGGGCTGGGTTGGACTCAATGATTTTGGGATTCTGAAAATCCTCTGCTTAAACACAAGGGATCAATCAATCAATCAATCAATCGATCAATCAAACCTCTGCCAACAGCAGCTGGGAGCAAACCCAGAGCTGACGGAGCCCATAGAGAAAGGATCTTACATGGAGGAGCCACCTCTTCATGGAGTGAAAGAACCATGAAGGAGCAGAGCATTGTGTGCAGCATCGCTCTGGGAGCTCGGGGACATCCCACACCCACCCAACTACACCCAGTCAACTACACCCACCCAACTACACCCATTCAACTACACCCACCCAACTACACCCAGTCAACTACACCCACCCAACTACACCCATTCAACTACACCTGCCCAACTACACCCAGCCAACCACACCCACCCAACTACACCCAACTCCATCCACCCAACTCACACCCAACTCCACACATCCATCTCCACCTACCCAACACTCAGCCATTCTCCACCCACCCAACTCCACCCACCCAACTCCACCCATCTAATTCCACTCACCCAACACTCGCCCAACACCCGCCCAACTCCACACCCCACAGGAGAAAACCCGGAGCCAAAGCCAAGCGCTCACCTCGCAAATCCCTGGGGCAGCTCTCCAAGGCCATAGAGGGGGTACAGGTAGGGGCTTTTCCCGTACCGAGCCAGGGACTCACTGTACAGCTTGATCCTGTTGATTGTTTCTTGGCAGGGTTGGTCTAGATAGCTGGGAAGGACAGGTGCACCATTTGGGATGTTTCCCAAAGCGGCACTTCCAGCAAAACACTCTGGAAAGCAAAGCCCTGACTTCCCATGACGTTTCCTTCCCCACCCTCCAGCTGCTCCTGGCGGAGCTTCCCTGGAAGTTCCCTTTTTAGGAGCATTCTGTGGTACATGTTTTACCCAGGAACCCTCAGAGTTTAAAATAACCAGTCCATCCCATCATAATCCCCAAATCCTGGGATTTGGGGGAGCGACTGAACCCTCACTTACTCATCAGTCCTGTAGAGAGCGAGGGCGTGGCCTGTGAAGTCAATGACATCTTGGCCCAGGTCAAACTTCTTGTACACGTCCCTCATGGTGGTTTTCTTGGGATCCACGCCCTCAAAGGTCCGTGGGTCGTTCTCATCAAAGTTGGCCACGTACACCAGGAACTTCCTGAACCGGCGCTTCTCGAACAAACCCATTAAACCTAAAAACGAGGTTTGGTGAGAATTAAACAGAACCAGGGTTTGGTGAGAATCAAACAGAACCAGGG